AGTAACCAAGCTGAAATAATAACGATGAATTTGTGAAGATAATAATGATGAATTGGTCAAGTAACCAAGCTGAAATAATAACGATGAATTTGTGAAGATAATAATGATGAATCTGTCTAGTAACCCAGAGAGAATAATTTTGCGTCTCTTTAGGCTGAACTGAGTTAGAAAACTGAACCAGTCCAGTCAGAGGAGGCGTGGCCAGCAATTTGCATAATCCAATCTCTAGGCTAATGGACAAAGTTAACCCATGCTTGGATTCCCCAAGCAGTGCACAGGAACCAGACAAAGATATGTTGCAAAATCAAACACGGACACAGACCCTTTTTTGCAACAACCACAGGCAACCTTCCTTCGACATAAGACGAAGTTCCTCAAAGAAGTCATTATCCAGCGAGATATGTAAAAGGTCCTACATCAAGCCTTTCCTAATTGGCCCAAAGAATAGGATTGGATAGGACAGAATAGAGAATAGAATAGAATAGGTTATTAGAGTAGAGAATAGAATAGAATAGTAGAGTAGAGTAGAGTAGAGAATAATAATAGAATGGTTTGTGTTGGGAAAGCTTGGAGGTCTTCTAGTCCAACCCCCTGCTTAGGCAGGAAACCCTACATCTCTTCAGACAGATGGCTATCCAACATCTTCTTAAAGACTTCCAGTGTTGGGGCATTCCCAACTTCTGGAGGCAAGTTCTTACACTGATTAATTGTTCTAACTGTCAGGAAATTTCTCCTTAATTCTCAGTTGCTTCCCTCCTCGATTAGTTTCCATCCATTGGTTCCTGTCCTGCCTTTCAGGTGATTTGGAGAATAGATTGAACCCCGTCTTCTTTGTGGCTCTTTTCATTCAACTAGACATACCCAATTCCAGCAGGAATCAGGAAGTAAGGAATAAACATTGGAAGTAAGGAATAAACATCCCTTACTTCCAATGATCAACTAGGACAAGTTGTATTTGCTAATATAGATCAGAGTGTGCGATAAAACCGAAATACAAATATTGTATGGTCACTTTAGATGAGACAAATTGGATACTGAGATAATTGGGTTTTCTTTTTTCTTTAAAAAAAAAGCTACTCAGAATGCATTTTAGTTTTCATTCCTAATCTGTAGTCAGATATGATCCCTGCTTTCAATTCCGCAGAAGTCGTCCTGCGTAGTCCTTACATCCTTCTGCTAGGCAAGGACGAGCAGATTTCTCATTGTTTGTGAAACGACACCCACAAATAGCAGATGCTTCCTGGCGTGCTTTCTGCTTCCTTCTACTCTGCATGAAAGAGCAAAACTGCAGATGATGCTTGGAAATCTCTCCCACACAAAGCCAGAGAAATGCACGCTGCAGAGCGATGTGCAAAATGCGGTAGAGGGAAGACTTAAGACACATCTGGCAAAATGGTTGGGAAGTGGTTTTCCACGGCAGCTGAGAGAGAAGCTTTCCACACTTTCTAATTTCATGGCATCGAAAAACAGAATACTCACAGCCCCCAATCTTCTTTCTGAGCTCCCCATAACAAATTAAGCCATAAAGCTCGAGGGAGGATTTTTTCAGCCCTTGAGAAAACACTGCAAAAGAAAGAAAAACACAGGTGTTCACGGAAAAGAATGTATCACAAATTTGCACGTGAATGGATTAAACTGAGAGCATCCTTTGATTTAAAAAGAATCTAGCAGGCAAATACTGACATTTATTTCAACATTACCTGATCCAGATAGGTCTCTCTGTAATTAATATTAATTTATTTTCAATAAGGGGATACATTTCATAGCTGGTTAGGATGACATTGGAACCTAAACCAGTGGTTAAATTCAAATTTTTTTACTACTGGTTCTGTGGGCGTGGCTTGGTGGGCATGGCAGGGGAAGGATACTGCAAAATCCCCATTCCCTCCCAAAATTCAGGGGAAGGATACTGCAAAATAGCAATAGCAATAGCAGTTAGACTTATATACCGCTTCATAGGGCTTTCAGCCCTCTCTAAGCGGTTTACAGAGTCAGCATATTGCCCGCAA